GATAGTGCTCAAAGCCGGGGGGCGGGGGGACTGCAGGAAGAGGGAGGGCTAGGGGGTAATGAAGGATGCTTTATTTTCTCTCTTTTTTTTTTTTTTCCCCTTTCGGGTGGGCAGGGGTCTAAGTCTACAAGGGAGCCACACTGATGCCATAATGTTCACCTTTAATCAAACTCGGGAGCAAGTGATTTCTTCTTTTCCACACACAAAACGTGGTGGCAGTAAATAGAGAAGTGCTGTTTTTGCACCTTGAAAAAAACAACAACAAACAAACAGAGAGCAAATAGAACACACTGTGATTCAACAGACCTGTTCTGTGTTGCTGCAGAATAAACATATCCACTATTAGGCTCAGAGTCACCACAATGAAATGTTCCTGAGGGGAGCTGTGGGGGGAAGTGTTGCCTTTTCTGGGAGTCGTCTCACTTTTGGCACAGACGAATACGCTGCGCGGTGTGTGAGTGAGGCTGGAGGAGCTGAAGGAGAGGAAAAACAGGACTGAGGATACGTGCTTCTGGAGTTAGAAGGAACTGAATGGAGGGTGGAATCTTCTTCTCTCACATCTGATTAAAGAAAAGCTTCTTGTTCATTGGTCGAGCCTTCGAGTGTGTTCATGTGTTTTTGTTTGTACTGGTATTGGTGAAGCAGTAAGGGGGTGTTTTAGTTTGAACTCGTTTAGGACTAAAAAAAATCTGACTTTAAGCTCTAAAGCTTTATTAAACCTGTGCCCTCCCCCCCCATCCAGTTACATTGAGGGCAACTGGATAAGGTAGGTAAAGCTCTTAAAAAAAAAACAAAAAAAAACTACCTCATCCAGATGCCCTCGATGTAAATTTTTTTTGGATTAAAAGACCTGGATGACTGAGAACCTATGCAGACAAGACACATATTTTTTTTTCCCAGACTTGTTTATTTCACACATTTTAAATGTAACTGTTTTTACGTACCTTAAACCTGCCCATTTTATGCTAGCATTACCAACTTTGGTCAGTTGGCAGGAGTGAGATTTTTGGTGTGGGGGGGAGGGGTGGGTCGCACCTCACAGGCCTGGTGCTGCTGGCCCAAGCAGGTCAAATGGGCGACAGCAAAGATGAGAGAATTAAGAATTAAAATGAACGACCTCCTTTGCAATATTATTATTATTCATTGTTTACACCGCCTTCAACCAATCTGGTTTTTTTGGCAGTCTCTTGTAAAACAAAAATCTTAGTGTCCGTAATTACAATTTATATTGCTGTCATTTCCGGACTATTGAGCGCACCTAAATATAAGCCACCACACTAAATTTAAAAAGAAAAAAATAATTGTGCATATATAGGCCACACTTCTCTATAAGCCACAAGTGTCCACATTGTAACATGTTTATTCTCACTTTTATATAAATAAATGCATTTTTTTCCAAACAGTGCCTGTAACACGGCTGGTTACACGTTAGCTCTTTCCTGCTTCGGTGCCCCGTCCGTAGTTGGAATGCATAGAAGAGACTTAGTGATCTGCTTCAGGGCTAAAGCTAACATTAGCTCCGGGGCTAACTCCCTTCACTTTGTGTTTGTCCGCAGTAGAGGTAAACAGAAACAGGGAAGTTGGGGTCTTTATTATCAGCCACACCGAGCACAACAGAACATAAACAGTGTTTTAACAGCTCCTGTATAACCGACACACATATATACACACACACCCATGTAAAGGCAGACAAATGCTACTAGTATAAACACACTGTAGTCGACCAGAAAAGTCCTTGATCGCTAGCGGTTGGAACTTCGCTAGCCCGTAAGAATCTATGTAAAAATTACGGTAATGATCTCATCTGTTCACATTTTTGGTCATCTTAAAAGCTAGACTTATTGCCAACTAAACTGAGGCGCATGTAAAACATGCTTTTGACCTGCTTAAAACAAACCAAACAATCAATCAACCAACCAACAGTCAATCTTTCAAACCCAGTTTTGACCCATGAAAAATTGACGTTATATAACACTAAAACCCTAGACTGTAAATCAATTTTTGCTCGCCCGACGCACATATACACACACACCCATTTAAAGGCAGACTAGTATAAATGCTACTAGTATAACACACTGTAGCCGACCAGAAAAGTCATTGATCGCTAGCGGTTTGAACTTCGCTAGCCCGTAAAAATCGATGTAAAAATGACGGTAATGATCTCATCTGTTCATGTTTTTGGTCATCTTAAAAGCTAGACTTATTGTCAACTAAACTGAGGCGCATGTAAAACATGCTTTTAACCTGCTTAAAACAAACCAAACAATCAATCAACCAACCAACAGTCAATCTTTCAAACCCAGTTTTGACCCATGAAAAATACATGAGTACATGTTTGAAAAACAATGCAGGAGATTCAGATGTCAGGCAGCAGAAATAGAAGATACACAAGCCCAGAAAAGAACTATGGTTGCAGTTAGTAAAGGACATGGAGACATGGGTTGGTGTAAAGCTACAGGTGGGATGAAACAGCGGGACATGGAGGCAGATGATTCACGACAGTCACCACTGAGGAATCTGAAACAGGAAACAGTACTTTTTATTTTGGAGCCGCTTCATAAACAGATACCACCTTTATTTCTGCCCCTGCTCCACCTTTAGACCCATTATGTGTGTTCATAGAAACGTCCCCAAAAGTTGACAAGATGTTTTGAAACTGCAAACTAATTTCTTGAATCAAAGTTTTTACCGCTTTTTTTTATATATATATATATATTTTTTATGCATGGTGTAGGGAGGGAGATTCAGTTTTTCCTTGCTCTTCAATTTCAAATAATTGTTCTAACCATGCTTGGTGCTCAGCCCTTGACAATATATAACACGACTTCTGTAATTACACGCTGCTGCGTGAGTGATATAACTTTATTATCTTTTCTTTCCTGATGTACTGCATGTGTGTGTGTGTGTGTGTGTAGGGAGGGAGCTCCCCGCAGCCACAATTCTGGTGCCAAAATGAACCACAGCTCAAACAAACAGTGTTTTTGAAGCGAGTCATCCTTCCTTGCCTCTATCTGAAGCATGGCGCTATGTGTGATTCCTTTCCCTCTGCCAGACAGAAGCTAAAAATAGTTGCCAGTGACCTGGATATGTTGCGTTAGAAATTCACATTTGTAAAGAAAAAGTAAAGAAAAGGGAAACAAGCATTGTTTACAGTCAGACTTGGTGCCATTTGTATTTGTTAAAAAATCACATTGTAATCGTGTCAGAGAAGGAAGAAAATAAGCCCGTAGTGTGTTAACTAAACGCATGTTCCGAGGGGAAGAAAACAAACTTGCCCTCTGTTCTGGCCTGATGTCCTTAACCCTGTGCGGTTACCTCCTTTCTATCTAATCAGTGCAGGTGGGACAAGCTGGTTTGTGTCTCACACAGCAAGTGTTCAGTCCCTCTAGGTCATGTCATTGGAGTGTAAAGTGGGGTGGAAGCACGCGCCCCCCGTTAAGGCACCACTTGAACTGGAACATGTGGCTCAAACACCACCAGTCTATGTTGTCTCTGGTTGGGGGCGGGGGGGCAGCGTTCCAAACTAAATAAGCCAGTTTTTTCCCCCCCCCTAGAAGTTGAAGAACGTGAGCCATACTGTGCCGAAGTCCACAATTGGCAGCATTGACCTGCCAAGTCATGGGCAGTGAAGGCTAATGGCACCACATCTTGTTGTCAAGAAGGACGAGATAGATAATTTGAGTTTCACTCGGATGTTGAATACGTCCGCAAAACACGGCACCGCGTGGAAACGTCCTTGATTTAATGTGATGTGTGTTTAGTAAATGAACACTAACAGGGAACGAGCTGCTGCGCATGAATCTCTCTCTTTCACTTCAGGAATGCAAATGGTGGAAAAAATGAAAAGTAAACAGCTTCAGACCTCGGGAGATGTCAGCGAGCGCACACCTCCCTCATACTGCTGCAGCCTCCACTAACGTAATGAAAACAAACCCCTCGGACATCCGTCTTTTCCGTCCTATCACCGCTGTGTGCTGCTGTTGTTGTTGCCGCTGCTGGGGACACAATTACACACATACAAAAATAAACATTTGTCAAGGGTGTCCTGCACAGTCATTTCCAGTGTCTGCTCATCTGAGGCTCAAATTGGCTTGGTTTAGTTATGTTAGTTAAAGCTTTAAAAAACAAAAAACAAAAAAAAACAACACATTAATACTCAAATGGTCGCTACAAAAATATCAATTTTTTGTAATTAATTATAGATATATATGTGGACATAGATACAGATAAATATGTGTAAATATATAAATATGCATATATGTTTATATATGTATATATAATTTGTGCCATGTATATAACTGTATGTATATACATACATATATGTTTATATATTTATATATGTACATATATATTTATATGTATATATTTTTTTATTATATAAATATATTAGATTTAGATAAATAATAGTATTTTCTGTGAAACAGTCTTTGGTCATTTGTATTCAAAGGACCCTCAAATGGATTTAGAGCAAAAACAGTGCAAATTTAGTCCCGTCTTGCCCTCCTGACTTGATGCAAAAAAAATGGTTGGGCGCTGTGATTTGGACTGCATCTGCCGAAGTTAAAATCTCTCAGTGAAGCTGTGCAACGCGGCTGAAACCCACTGGAGCTTTGTCGCCTCAAAGATCAAAGTGATGAGCTTCTGCCCGAAGATCAAATGGAGCAGCATCATGAGGAGCAACAACAGTGAATCTGGGCAAGGATTTAAAAACTGCCATTAATTAAAAATACCCCATCCGCAAGCTGCCTCCGTCAACTCTGAGACCATGATGTAAACATGAGCTCTTGTCACAGTCATGCTCGGCCTGTCAGTCATCAGACATTCTCTTTGAGGATTATTATTTATTGGGATCCCCCTCAGGGATGCACGTGCAAAAAAACCTGACAGCAGTCCCTCCGCAACGGTGCACAATTAGGCAGAACAAAGCTGGATTAAGCAATCATTCGTGATTTATGTAAGTCTAGTGTGACCACACAATAATGCCAGGCAGCGAGAAAGTGTGAACATAAACTCCATAAATTTATTTTGTCCTCCAAAAGACCAGAACCAGAGTTTACAGCGAAGGCACTTAAACTTCCCTTTGACTTTAATAAATGTATCTAAACAACAACGCATCCAATAAAAGGAAAGATGAGCTTTAAATTAAATATATTTACAATAAATAAAACAACGACAATTCGGATTTATACAGTTTACCATGCCACCTTCAGGGAAGAGAAACACTAATACTATTCTAAAAGATGCAGTGCCTCCTGTTAACAGTCTCTCTCTTTTTTTTTTTTTTTAATGCTTTGCAAGACATTTGTTGACTTAACAGAACAGCATGAACAGAAAAAAAAAAAAAAAAGGAACAACACGAACATTTCTCCCTTTTTATCCCTTAAATACTGTTTAGAGCTACTTTCCCATAAAGATGCCTTTGGCAGCAGCAGAGGAGTGACAGCCAGTTGAATTCAATCACTCCTCTTATCAAGTCTTTAGCAGCTCCTTACACAGGGCATTAGCTGTGTCTCTCTGTGTGTGTGTGTGTGTGTGTGTATGTAGGTGTATGGCTGTGTCCTCAGACATGTGTGGGGTTGTCTGAGTGAACGTCAGTCTTGGCCATGTGCATCACCACAGCAGGAGGTTTGTAGTGGCAGTGTGTGCCGCCGCAGCTGACGCCGCTGCACGGCTTCCTGCCGCTAGTCCTGTCCGTCAGCTTCCTGCTGCACAGGCCCTGCCAGGTCTGCAGTGTCTTGGAGCTCCACACCCACACGCCACTGGTGATGCCCACCACCAGTGACATGAAGATCTTCAGCATGAACACAGCCACGGTGGGCACGGACGTTTGCAACGAGCAGTTGCCGGTGTGGCCGCTGAACGAGCTGCACTTCATCTGCAGCCCCCTCAGCTTCCAGTAGTCCATGTTGAGGCGCTCGTAGAAGTAACAGACTATAACACAGGTGGCGGGCACGGTGTAGAGGATGGAGTAGATGCCGATTTTCACCATCAGCTTCTCCAGCTTCTCCGTGTTGGTGCCCTCCGTCTTCATCACCTTGCGGATGTGGAAGAGAGCCACGAAGCCCGTGAGGATGAAAGACGTGCCAATGACCAAGTAGCAGGAGAGGGGGATGAGGACGAAGCCAGTGAGGGCCCCCGAGTCCATACTCCCTACGTAGCACAGTCCCGTCAGCTCATCTCCAGCTACTTTTCTCATCGTGAGGATGATGATGGTCTTTAAAGCGGGGACGCCCCACGCTGCCATGTGGAAGTAGTTGCTGTGAGCTTCAATGGCTTCATGACCCCACTTCTTTCCCGCAGCCAGGAACCAGGTGAGGGTGAGGATGACCCACCAGATGGAGGAGGCCATGCCGAAGTAGTAGAGAATTAGGAAGACGATGGTGCAGCCAGTAGACTCCAGCCCCTCCTGGATAATGTACAGCTCGCCATGCTCACGGTCGCAAGCAATGTTCTCAGCTCCAGCCACCGAACGGATGATGAAGGCCACAGAGTAGACATTGTAGCACATGGAGAGGAAGATGATGGGCCGCTCTGGGTACTGGAAGCGGTGAGGCTCCAGTAGGAAGGTCAGGACAGTGAAGGCAGTGGAAACAAAGCAAAGGATGGACCACACTGTCATCCAGATGAAGGCAAAGTCCTTATCCTGTCTGGACCAGAAGACGTCCACAGCAGGGGAGCAGCGCGGTGCACACGACTGGCTCTTCTCCACGAACTGGAACTTGTCCGGGTTCTCGCAGGAGCCAATGTTGCCTGGAGGGTGGCTGCTGCTGATGCCTGGCTGCCTCGGACGAGGGGGCACTGGAAGCATCCCCTCACCTTTCTTCACCTCCGTCCTGGTCTCATTCTCGGGAGCCTCCATGCAGAGAGCGTTGGGGTCGTTTCTGGTGGGCAGCTTGGAGCAGTCAAGCGAATCAGGCCAGGTATAACTGAACTTCTTCATGATGGGAGCACATCTCTCTCTGGCCTGCTCACACATGGGTCTGCAGGCGTGAATGGAAGTGGACACTTTGTCCGTGCACATGGGCGCATAGAGGGAGCACAGGAAGAAGCGGAGGTGCACATCACAGCCGTAGGCCACCAGAGGAGCAAATTCGTTGAGCTTGATGGCTGCCTCCTTCTGATCACTGTGGTTCATGAAGTTGGGCATGCGGGTCAGGTTGTAGCCGATGCCCTGGCACATCGGGATCACTATGGGCTCGCACTTGGCCGGTCTGCCTCTTTCCAAGTCATAGGAGCCAATTTCAAAACTGGACCCTGAGATTACCAGAAGACACCACAGGAAAATTAAAACTTTTAATGCACAGCCGTCCACACTCATTGTTTTAGACCAAGTCCGGGTCTTTGTTACAGGAAAAAAAAATACGACCAGAAAAGTGCAAATTACGGGTCAGGAGGATAGTCAGAGCCCCGTTATTTCCCCCATGGCGCAGGCTGATTCGAGTGTTGCCTTCACGGTTGCTCCGTCCGAAAAGAGTTAAAAAAAAAAAAAAAAACCCACACACTTCAAAATAAACGTTAAGATAGTCCGAAAATTTCGCCCGTAAATCCAACACAGGTGAAGGTCTTTCGGAAAGTTCGAGAAACAAATGAGGGTCACGCACAATCAAACATAATTACGAGAAGCGCAGAGGTGGGAGTAAGTCCACAAAACGAGCGTCAGTGTCCGCGGTTACAGTGCGGCTTCACGGCGACCAGAGAGCAGCTGACCGCGGCAGAGTGTCCGTCTGTCTGCCCGCCTGTCTGCCTCCGGATCTGTTTTAGGATCTGTTTGTGTGTCTCTGTCTCTGCTGGCTCGTGATCTTCGTTCTCTGCTCTTGGGCTCCGCACTGAGTTTGTGCGCTGCTCACACTGACTTCAATAAGTAAGAGAAGGCAAAGGGAGAGAGAGAGAGAGAGAGAGAGAGGAGGAGGAGGAGGCGCAGGGGGAGGAGAAGGAGGAGGAGGTTGCTCCGTGACGCTCACATTTCAGCCCGAGAAGCACTTAGGGAAAGTTATCAGACAGATGCTGTAGGATGGTCAAAATACCTCTGACATTTCTGACCCGAATATATAGCTGACACGGTCAAACAGCCGGCGGTACAATGAATAGTATTGATTACGGGGTCATAAGCTGTTTATGTACATGTTCTACAGCAAAACCCACTGTGCTTCAAAAGGGTGTTTCGTCCTTTAAAAGTGTTCTGGGGGGTGAAAATGTAAATGGTCTGTTGCCTGACGTTTGAAGTGATAAAAAAAAACAACAAACAATACATTTTAAAATGACACTACTACACAGGGAAACTGTGACAGGTGGACTTCAAAGTCACTGCAGTTTACACTAAACCAGTTCACACGTGTTCAGTGTAATAAACAACGAGTCTTTCAAGCCTCAATAGTCCCTTTGAATATTTTAAAGACAGTTAAAGTTAAATCAACTGCATGTAAAAGGCAAGAACATTGACAGGGTGTCGAGGGGTGATTTTAGTTTGCTTTAGAATTTGGTGAGAAATCTGAAATGGGAAAAAATAAATAAATCTAGTTCTCTTTCATTTTTGATGTGATCTTGGAAAGAATTGTCTGCTTTGGTATAAAATATAATTCTGTCAGAATTCACAAACCAGAATTGACATCTTCTTGAAGTCTTTAGTTCAGTCTAAGTTTAACACTTGAATATACTTTACTCTCCACTGCAGCAATTCGTAAAACAGATAACCTTACAATTGCATGTTAGTTAAGTCAATTACATTTAATTAGCGATACTGACAACTTAATGTACTTTACTCTCCACTGCAGCAGTTCGTAAAACAGATAACCTTACAATTATATTTAATTAGCGATACTGACAACTTAATCACTCTTTTCTGATGTTTGAAAAAAAAAACCCAAAAACCTTCCAGGGTATAACATACAAAATAATCTGCAAACAACATAATACTCACATCTATAAACACATTAATTATAATTTGACTATGCAAAGCATATTATGCATATATGCAATTGCAGTACAGTTGATAATATCACTAAAATGCAAAATTTACAAACCGAAATTAGCAACCAGGAGTTAAACACCTTGTTTTTTCGGTAAGATATGTTCCAAATATTTTTTGTAATCTCCACTAACACGAGGGTTCAAATTCGGTGATGTTGGCTATCCAGTGTGGGCAGGTAAAGCAGGGTTGGGGGCGAGGGGGCAGGGGGCAGTTTAGCAGCGGTGTTTGTCAAAACACAATGACTGGGTCGTAATAAAACCATCAACGCTGTCACGGAGAAAAACGACAAGGCAGAGAGAAGAAGCTACGCATACCATGCAACGAATGAAATGCAAGTTTTATTGTGCTGAGCCGAGGACTATTGTTTACATCTAGTGGCAAAACGAGGGGGGGTGGCGGTGGGGGCAGCCTACAGCTATGCAGCTGTTGCACTAAGCGTTTGATCTTTTCTCAAACAGGACAGGAACTCAAGGATTTTGGCCCCTGGCCCCGCAGGACTGAACTGGCTGTAAACTGCATACTGTCTTTATCCTATAGATCCTATAGGTTGAAACTATGACGACTGAAGGTGTTGGTCCAAACTGAAATTGCAGTGACCTGTGTTTAAATATAAGAAGAACATTGTGAACACGAGTATACAATTGAGGACAAATAAGTAGCACCTCTCAAAAAATGTGGGTTCTGCTGTAGAGAGAGATTATTATTATTTTAAAAGAACTAAAACTACAATTAGAGGTAAACAGATAATAAATCATTTAGGACCAATCTGCTGTTTTTTCCCTTCACAAAAGAGAGTGGTTTATTGAAAAGAGCCAAAAATGGTAGATGTGCGCAACACGAGGTGATTAAACTTAAACTAAAATATCTGGTTTCTGTTTCCATCTGGTTTAGTCCACTGATAAAAATGATACTACAAAACATTTTGTCCAACTTCCCGCACAAAAGCCACATTTCTGTTTCCACACAGTGATTTTTTTTTCTCCCTTTTTTTCACCCATGACTGCATCAAACAATATTTTTTATCTTGCTCAGTGGAATATAACTGTAGTATTTCTGCTGTTTGAATGCAATCATCAGGTGAATTCTTTACTTATGAAGGGGACAAATGTCTTTGTCTCAAATGCTTTCTCTTGACAAATTGTGCTACGTGATGGCAGTTCAAGTCACTTTATCAGATTTGGCTTCAGGTTAAGGAGAGAAAAAAAAGCTCCTACAACTTCAATTTGCAGCTGTTCAGGCAGAAAGAAATACATTCCAGACTCTGAGTTGATATTTAATTGTACATCATTGTTGGAGCTTTTGGTCAATCAAACCTAAATGCTTAGACTTCAGTTCCATTACTGTTCTCTCCACTTTAACATGTCCAATTCTCCCTTTAAATACAAGCAGTCAACGGAGAGCACTTGGAGACGTCTGAGCGTGCCATGCTTAGGTCTCAGATTATTATCAGAGTGGGATTTTTCTCCAAAGTACAAAACACAAATCACTATCCATTAGCATCTAAACCCTAAAGCTAGAAAAAATGTGGCGCAAAAATCCGATTGTACTGCAGTGTATTACATTAAACCAGAGGTTCCCAAAGTGGGGGATGCGCCCACTGGGGGATGAATCACTCTTTTTCGATGCTCAGAGCAGCAGTGGCAGCCCCACGCAGGGTGCAACACCTCCCACCCCAAAATCTCACTCCCACCAACTGACCAAAGTTGGCAATGCTAGCATAAAACGAACAAATTTAAGGTGGGTAAAAACGGTTATGTTTAAAATGTGTGCAATAAATGAGTCCAAAAACAAAATATGTGTTTGTTTGTTTTTTTTGTTTTGTTTTTTTTTTTGGGTGAGGGGCGTGAAAATCTTCTTATGAACCAATGGTGGACCCAGCAGAGAAACTTTGGGAATCACTGAATTACCTGTTAATTGCATTCAATGCAGGCAGCATTTGATGTGTCCTTGGATTCCTAAGATGACATGAATAAGAAACAAATGGTGTTGCTGATTTACTCCAGGAGACATATGGTCTGACTGCACCACTGCCCGGAGTCTTAGGCCTCTGTAACAGGCCCCTATTGTGCTTTCATTTCACTTAGTTGTGTTTTTTCTTCTTTGACAGAAAGAGGAAAAGTACTCTTGCATTTATTAAGTATTTTGATTTAGACCCTCACTGGCTCTGACCATAATTGTTTTAAGAGGGTCAATACTATTTATTTTGCTATTTAGTGAAGGGAAATGGATCTACGTGCTATTTATTTCTGCCCCCCTGCTAACATTTTTCCCGCTCTCTATCTGCTATTTGTCAATTTGGTTTGCAATGTGGAGCCTCCACAAAGAACCTGGCATCTTTTATTTCACGCATTCATCAGGGCAATCTGGTGCGATGCAGGACTTGTAATTACTACCTCTCACTTTTTGGTGATCATATATCAGGCACAAAGCTATAAACATGCTGTGGAGAACAATGGCAGGGCCTGGCCACAGCCCACCAGCATATTACTATTCCAGAGACACTGGCTGTCTGAGATTGTTATGAGTGAAACAAGAGACATCTCACACTTAAAGCCTTGCATCTGAGCCAACGTGCCGCCGTCGACATGGAGTATAATGGTGAATTGTTCCTGCAATTACCCCTTTGTTCATATCGTGTTGTTATAACCTGTCATTTGGGCAGTGCCAGGGCAGTGAGCCGTCATAGCCACAGCACTTTGTTTTTTGTTTTTTTTAAATGACAGATTCAGAGTTCACTTTACTTGTTCTTTAATCCAGCTTTCTACTTTCTGCAGTGAGGGGATGGAGAGCTCCAAAAGTCCAAGGTTCAACATCATGCAATTTTATGAAACAGCTTTTTAGGTGGCTTTAGCAGAAGGCTCTGGTTCATCACCACAGTCCATCTGTGTTCCTCATTCTCCAGTGTTGTTGAAAACAGAAATAGTGCCCAAAAGCCTGAAGCAGGGGAAAATGACAGTTTACCCATTGTTATATGATAATAAGGATTGAACATACTTTGTTTCTTCTTTTTTAGCAACTCAAAAACTCAACTAATAGAACTTATAATTGAAAATTGCATCTATATTATCCTCATTCTCCAGTGTTGTTGAAAACAGAAATAGTGCCCAAAAGCCTGAAGCAGGGGAAAATGACAGTTTACCCCTTGTTTATAATAAGAAGAATTGAACATACTTTTTTCTTCTTTTTTAGCAACTCGAAAACTCAACTAATAGCTGGGAAGGATGTGCAGCAGGTGAGGTTGATTAAGGACATAGGTCGGGATGTGATCACAAGTGAGGAAAGTGTGCTGAGAAGATGGAAGGAATACTTTGAGGAGTTGTTAAATGAGGAAAATGAAAGGGAAAGTAGAAACGAGGAACCAGAGACTATTAGGAAGAAGGTAGATCAGGTTAGAAAGGATGAAGTGAGAAGAGCCCTGAAGAGGATTGAAGACTTCCATACCCCAGTGGAAGTATGGAAGTGCTTAGGAGAAGTGGTGGTACATTTCCTGACTGGGTTGTTTTGGATTTTAGAGACTGACAAGATGCCTGATGAGTGGACAAAAAGTGTTCTGGTGCCAATTTATAAGAAGG